TCTGTGCGCGCTGTCAACCGGCGGCGAAGACCGCTCCGTTTGTAGGGAGGCATCTTTTAAACACGACGTCGTATTTGCGAGTGGCGAAACTGAAGCGGGAGGTAGCACTTTTCTTCGCGTCTTAATATATTTTTAGTGTAATTAGGAACTAGATAAGGAATTTTTCGGTAGGGGAAGTTCATAACTTCCTGGTACTAGCTAGCTTTTGTAGTCCCCCCCTTTGGTTGCAGTTCTGTAATGTAACGCGATAGTAAAGAGGAAGTTTATGAGCAGTTTGTCTCTGTTAGAATCGGTACCGTTCGTGGAGTCCGAGGTAGATTACTGCTTTCTAAAATAAAAACACGTTTAAGCTTTCGGTTATTTCAGGTTGAGCTAGAAGGTGCTCCAACACATCTTCCACCGTAGTCCCTTTTGCCCCCTTTGGTTGCAGTTCTGTAATGTAACGCGATAGTAAAGAGGAAGTTTATGAGCAGTTTGTCTCTGTTAGAATCGGTACCGTTCGTGGAGTCCGAGGTAGATTACTGCTTTCTAAAATAAAAACACGTTTAAGCTTTCGGTTATTTCAGGTTGAGCTAGAAGGTGCTCCAACACATCTTCCACCGTAGTCCCTTTTGCCTGAGCTGTTGCAGGAGGTGACAAGCGTATAGACTGTGTGCCCTTGCCCTTCAGAAAAGGCTATTGCCGCGGAGGACGTGCGGTCACCACTGAGAGCAGTGACATCAAGGTCGAAGGGCGACACTTCTCCCGTCTCTGTCTCGCTGCAGTCGCCTCACATCGTGGGGTTTCGGGTGATACTTTCACATCTTCCACAAAGACCCACAGCTACTCTGCTGTCACACGCGGGCGTTGCTGGAGAGCCTGTTCACAGGGCGCTCTTAGTTGTGCAAGAAAATTAGAAATGGTGTAGCCCCTCCAGAGCCCGCTTCCTTTCAGCTAAGGAACGGGACAAAACGTGCGGACCCTTGATTCCGTTGTCGCTTTGCTTGGTGGCAGCACGTCACGCTTCCTCCCTAATGGCACAGGCTGTGTTGAACTTCAGACCGGCCCAGGTTTCTTGTCATGGAGAGGCCCACGTGGAAGTGTTTTCTGGGGTTGTCTTTTTGTTCCTTTTTGTATTGCTGGAAACGGATGAGAACAAAAAAGTGTTCAGTTCTTGAATGAGTAGAAGCTGGCTGAGCTCTTGGAGTTGTTACTCGTTTTGCCTATTTTCCTTGCGTATGTAATTGGGACAGTTGATCTCTTGTATTCTCTTTTAAATTAGTGTAGTGTTCAGGGCGTGGGGGGGGATAAACAATTTCATAACAAAAAGAACAAGAGGCAGGTTGTAATATGTAGTATAATGTTTCTATTGCTAGCATGTGTATAGGCAATTATAATTAATTACAAATGCAAATTAAACTCTTAGGCACTTAGATGAAGGATTAGCTAGACTTTTGCTTTTCTTCCATTTCACATACTTCGCCGAATAGTTGTGGCCAGGTAGGTAATACGAGTAGCCGTGCGTTTCTCTTCCAGTATTAGCAAAAGAGAGCTTGTTTTTTGACATCGCTTGTATTTGTTTGACAAACACAGCAAGACCCGAAGAGGAGAGGTCTTCAGCAACTGTGTGGGAACTAACAGACCTCTGTGTGTGAGAGTAGATTGTGAAATAGTTAAGCCATGCCACTTCACAAGCACATTGCTGATTTACAGAAATAGGGAACACCGAACAGCCCTCCACTTGGCTCCGGAGTGCTGATAATACCTTTAGTTTGCACAAACACTTTCATGTGTTTCCTCTCTACACGAAACACGATGACACCGATAATCATGGTAGAGGTGATAACGTGATTCTTAAATAGAGTGAGAGAGAACCAAGATAAAGTGAAGCTTAATGTTTAATCTCTGGAGGCTACTGTGTCATTGAGCTTTACTTTCCCACAAACACACCTGCTCTTAGGCAGTGGGTTTGCCTTCAATGACATTTGTTTCAACCGCAGCCCCATAAAGATCACTGAGCTCAGAGTTTTAAAATGAAGTGCTCTTAATGGGAGAAAAAAAAAAGTCCTCTTAAGCAAGTATTAATAGAGCACGAAGGGAAATTACTGGTCAAAGCAGAGAGAGATCAAGACTTGAAGTGATTGTGTTCTATAGTAGTTTCAAGCAGCAAGGCTCTAGCTGGTTTTGACAAATACGTAATGTATGTGGGTGTACTGTGCGTCTGGTTAGCAGCTATGTAAGCCTGTGCACCTCCGTAGTAAGATGATTAGTAGGCACTTTACGGCAATTTTGTCATTATAACATCTAAAATAGATTTTTAATATAGTATATGGGTATGTGTCTGTATTTGTGGCATGCTGCGTTACGTAGGAAGGGAAAGGTGCGGTCCTTTTCTCTTCTCAATTCCATGATGGAAATGGGAGGCTGACTGATACGCCGCGGTCGCTCCTCACTGCTGGCAGAAGTCCTCTGTTGCCTGGTCCACCAGACTGTGCTGATAAATACAATAGCATGAGTAAATTTAAGGGTGAAAGTTGAGAGCCATACACTGGTGTGTGAACTCAGTTTTGTGAGAAGCTCAGACTTCTGCTCTGTCTTTGAAGCTGGCTTTACGTCACTTCTAGGCTTTTTTGTTATCATTGCTCGTGCCTCCCCTTCCCCTTTGCTGGACTTGCTTATTTTCCACAAAGAGAAAATACACAAAGCTTATCTAAAGGAGTGTTAGGTAAGATCTGGGAAGTATCTAGAAAAGGGACCGTCCTTGTAAGTGACTGGACCTAGAGTAGTTGCTAACATGTATTTAATATGACAGCTCACAGGCTATTTTCAGAAAACTATTTAAAATCTCCCTGATGGGAGGTGATCAGTTTAGATATTGCATTCTGATAAATTGTTAGAAAGGAATATAGAGAGTCCTAAAGTGTAGTTCTCCAATGTTTGGCACCAAATGCAGCCTGGAGTTGAAACACATTGTGCTTTTTTTAAAGGGCTTTGAAAACGCACGTGTTGTTGAAGATAATTCCAGCCTAAGAGGTGCTTTTACATCCTTCCATTCCACAGCTCTCTGTAGGTGTGTTAGAGCTGAAATGTGCATTCGGGTCAGACGAAGGTGACATCTCAGACATCTCAGCGGTAGTTATTTCCATCCCGTCTCTACTTCTCTTAGTTACTTTATCTTTTAGGTTATAACATTTTCCTACTTTGAGTATGAGCTGCTGCAGCACTGGAGCTGTTTTGCCATCAACAAATCCCAGGCATAAAGTTCAAGCTTTGTGTTGGCAGGTATACCTAAATCACTGTAGGTGCCGCAAAAGAGAAGCTTTTGTTACGGAGTTAGGATTGGAATCCACGTCTTTGCCAAAAGTCATATGCTATGGCCTCATAGGCTGTATAGACCTTGGGCAAAAGGAAGTAGGGGATCTTTTACCCTTTTAGCACTTTCAATATATTTAATAACTATTTTGCTTATTACGTTGAAGTCCAAGCACTTTTTTTCAGTGCTGTGCCACAGGATGTTGCCTGTCATGTTTGTTTGTGATGCTCAACCTTGCTTGAGTAGGATGCTATTATATGAAGATGACAGAGAGCTCAGTAGACATTTCCATAAGCTATGTTCTTCTGATCGTGCAGCACCGTGATGATTCAACTTCTACAATATTTACTTACCCTCTGTTATTTGTTTTTCACATGCCATCCCGCTGTTGTCACTGATTGACTATCCTGTTTGATCTTCTCAGTGAGATATATTAAATAGCTTGTTACTGTCTGGCAATAAAACATCACTTGAAGAATACTTACACTCTTGCTAAGTTAATGTCTTTCTAACACCACACCACCACCCCCCAACCCCCCATTTAAGAGTTCTTTTGTCTCTTATTCTTGTCTAGCACTCATGTTTCCTGAAAACCTCTTGTTGACAACTGCGCAATAGCTTTTACTTAAGTTTCGTTGTCTGGGGAGATACTGCAACTAGAAGCTAGCCCTGCGGGAGGTGGGCAGCTCAAGATGTAGAATTCAATAGCAACTACCAGGTATTTTCTGAGCCCACAGTGATGGTATTCAACCCAGTAGGGTTGGTGGGTTGGTTGTGTTTTTTTTTTTTTCCCCATAATTTGCATAGTTTCTGCTTCACTCTGATAGGAACAAAATCAATCAATTCTGAGGAAACGTCTTCACTTTCAGAGGACATTTAAGAGAACATAGTACTTGGCAGTGTCTGTACTTTGCGAGGACAGCCATTCCTCCAAGTGGAATTGGAATTAAAAATACCAGCCATTCCCTCAAAATAATGATTTGTTTTCTGTTGTATAAAATCATCTTTCATCAGATACATACTCTAATAGCTAAAAGAAGCTAAGTTCTGGGCGAGGTGGAGGGGACGGCGTCCTTTGCGAATTACTTCATGGCATTGATACCCAGAGGCTTCATTTAAATCTGTTCTCTCCCCTCGCCCCCCCACCTTCCAATGTGTGCATGTACATAAAAAGAAGAGTAGGAAAGTAGACCGAGTGGAAAGATGGTAGTATCAATCAAAGAGTCTTGATATTCTAATTTGTACATCTTCTGCTGCCTTTTAAGCTCTACTGTGTACTAACATCAAAAATGTTTTGGTTTGTTTTTAAGGTGGCCCTGAGCCCTACATTGAAATATTTGAACAACCCAGGCAAAGGGGCATGCGTTTCAGATACAAATGTGAGGGAAGATCGGCAGGCAGCATTCCAGGAGAGCACAGTACCGAAAACAATAAGACCTTCCCTTCCATACAGGTAAATACTGCTTTTATCCATGAGTTACCATTGCCTACATTAACATTGTGCTGTAGCTATGTGTTGGACTCGGGGCAGTAAGTAAAATACTTTTCATTTCGTGTTCTGTTATTCTTTCCTTGACATGCAAATGTAGTTGCAACAGAGTGGAAAAAGAGTTCTTTGCTCCTAGTCATTAAAGATTTTGTTTCAAATTTACAAGAGGAGAAGGTGTAGAGGTAGTTAACAAAGCGCTGGTAGAGAGGAAATTCAGTGAAGTTACTCATTGTCTGGGAGTCATTCCTTATTATCTTTTTCTCTATGCACATTTATTCTGGTTTCTTAGTTACGTGACTTGGGTTTGTTCTTCCTATTTGGACTGAAATATGAATTTTGGGAGAGCTCTAATGAGTTTGCGTACAAAATTTGAAAAAGCTTTGAAAAGCTCCTACAGGCAACATGAAAAAAGGGACTTTGTACAAGTGGGCAAAGTAAGAAAGCGACCTGCAGCCAGTGATTCGGTGGTTAGGCTCTGCGAAAGAAACTACCGTGAAGAATGTGAAGTCAGAAGGGGATACAGAATTTAAAAATGAGTTGAGAGAGGGGAATTATGTGGTCAGAGCACCTGCACTGAAGACGAGTTTGGTGGTTGCATTATGGATAAGTTGGGAAATCCAGAATGAAGGGATTCAGAGTAGCCTTAGCAGCTATGATCAAAGCAGGCGCAAAGACGCAGACAGTAGAGGTGGAATGGAAGCACTTTGGCAGTAGCTTTCCTGTGTGGGAGAAAAGAATGTGTCGGAGACCCTGGACAGGTAGGGTAAGGGAGAAGAATTTCTGGTCTCCTATTTGAAGTTTAAGTTGCTAGTGTTTCCTTGATGTCCCTCAATTCGGAGAAGGTCTTTCAGGGGTGAGATTAGAAGAGAAAGGTGAAATATAAATGGTAAGTTACAAGTGCTTGCCATCTTGAAGTACATTACAGTGCTCAGGAACAGAAGCTGTGTTTGCAGTGTGTGCAAGTGAGAGGAAAAAAAAAAAAGAGCCAAAGATGGAGTCTCTGGAATCACAGCAGAAAAAGAACAGATACAGAGGATGTGAAATTTGAAAAATATATATGAGATATTTTAGGCTAGGCATAAAAGCTCTTTAAGAAGAGGGAGAGTTTGAGGAAGATAGTATTGGCAGTCATGTGTTGAGCAGCAGAGTGAGCCTCTACTACATAGAGCAACTGTGGAAGCTGGTCTAGCCCTGAAGCCAGAAGTACTAAGGGAAGAAGCAAACAAGAAGGTCGTGTGTCCCCTCCCTTGATTATCACAGTGCCAGATTTGGTTAAGGAATGCAGGAAATTAAGATCTTGCCGGACTTTTCAGCACTCTTAACGATTGAACAAGGAACTATGTAGGCTGCTGGCAAGAGTAAATACTTTCAAACTCTCAGCCTAAGGCTGTGTCAGGGCACAAGTTGAACAGAAGGAATAAGCCCTTGGTTCCTCTTAGCTTGGACTGTGTTGCGCATGAAGGCCAGCCAGAACCCAAAGGGAAGATGGGATGTGGTAGGTGACCGCGCAATCCTGACCATCGTTTGTCCTTTTTTTAAAGGTGACTGTTGATGACAGAGCTGATTGTTACTGATAGCAGGTGATTTCTAGGTGAATTCCTGCCTCCCTGAAGCCCGTAGGAGGCTTTAGTGCTGATTAGCTGCTAGGGGAGTCCCCTCTAGAGATGGAAACATCAATGAGGATGAGAACAGAGAGGCCAGGAAGAGATTAAATTTCGTGGTGTGGTTGAGATGAAGAACATCAAGGAGGAACTGGAGACTCAAAAGTGGCTAGATCAGGCTTCAAGTTAGAGGGACTGGATTTGCAATGAGGAAGAAATGATGTAATAGTTCAAGAACGTCAAAGAATGGTGGAAGTTTTATTTTAAGGGTAAAAACTAACGGTGGCTTGTGTGAAGGCCAAGAAAGGAGCCAGACTGGAGACTGAAGAAGCTAACAGATGATGGAAGCTAGAAGAGCACAAGTAGAGTCAGTGGTTGAGGTGTTGGCCAAGAAGGATATGTGATGGATCTTTGGAGGCTCAGGAGGAGGAAAGAAAGTGTGCTGAAGGAGGGGAGGAGAGGAACAGTTAGTTATAGGGCAGGGGAAGTGGAGGAGGAGAGCTCGCCTCTGCACAACTGTGTGTCTGAGCAAGTCTTGTATTTGCTTTCAAGTTGTTACACTTCAAACAATTTAGGCCAAACTTTTTTTTTTTGAACACTCACCCACACAACCCTTGGTGACTTCACTGGTAGCTGTCAGCATGAGGGAAAACTTCTACACACCTGAGAAGTGTGTTGAATTAGGCTGATGACTGTTGTGAAGGCTCTAGTAGGAGCTTGAGAATTCAGTGCTTCTTTTCCTGGATTGAATATTCATCTGAGAATGCATTTAAAAAAAAAAAAAAAAGACTTCATAGGGGATTATGTCATGCTGTATCTGTTAAGATCCTCTTTTACTGCTTAGTATTCATGCACAGGTAGCATCCTTTTCCCTGAGGCTTTAGGAGCTTTTTCCTAAGATCTTTGGAGCTAGACCTGTCCTTCAGTAAGCATTTGTGTGTGGTCACCTACGTAGAATTTTGCGTCTTTTCGTTGTAAGGCTAGGCATGATAATGAAATGTGTCCTGTTACGTTTGGTCTTACAGCGTTACAAGCTGTTTTAGTCTCAGGTCTAAGCTTCTGTATTACCTCTGGCCTTTTGCACACAGATGAGAATTGAACTTGTATAAAGACCTTGGTGAGACGGTGAAGCGATCGATCTCCAGCCTCAAAAAAAAAAAAAAAGGAAAGAAAGAAAAAAAGATTCTTGACAGCCTTTCAGATTTTCTTCCTATTCTTGCAGTAAGGTAGTTTAAGAGAATTGAATGGACTGAATGGCAAATACTGGCACCAGTGAAATGTTATCATTATATCATTACAAATAACCAACTGCTTCGGCAAAACTAGCAGGTCAAGTATGTTGTTTTACTTTCTGAAATAGATGAGATGTACTTTTGAAAAAAATCACTTTTCAACTATTTTGCCAAGGAGTTGTTTTTTAGTGTAAAATGAACAGAACTGAAATGGAATGAACAAAACTTCTGAATGGTCTTGGCTTTTATGAAGCAATAACGCCTTTCCTTAGCTGTGGTGTTTCTTCCATAGAGTATTTTAGCATAAAAGGTATTTTCTGTTACATACGGGGACTTTACTAGCCCTGATTATCTAAAATGTAGAAAACATCTCACATTTTTTTGTAGATTCTGAACTATTTTGGAAAAGTCAAAATAAGAACTACACTGGTAACGAAGAATGAACCCTACAAGCCACACCCTCATGATCTGGTTGGAAAAGACTGCAGAGATGGCTACTACGAAGCAGAGTTTGGGCCAGAACGGCGAGTCCTGTCGTGAGTAATGGTCTTGCTTGGGAGTTCGATTAATTATGCAAGAGATTTGCTAATCTTACGTTTTAAACCTCTGACTAGTGATTAAAAGGGCAATTAGTATGCTGCCTTTGCTGAAGTTTACTAATCCATCGCAGAGAGAGGGCTACTTCTCTTTGAAGTATTTCCTTCTCTTTTCGATACTTCACACACTCATCTTTGGTCCTGTTCTTTTCCTATCACCCTTTTTTCCTTGGTTAATTCTCCCAATTGTCTCCTTTTCCGTTCTCCCACCTGTTTGCTTATTTTTTTGGTCCTGTTCAGTAACACTTCTTACTCTTGAGCGTGACACTCTCCTACATGTGAAAATGATGAGTAATCGATGGGGTAACAACAACATTAGAATTAGCACTTCGTGATGATGAGGGAAGTTCACGTCTTCCATGGGAGTTATATTTGGACTTTCTGGAACTGGTGGAGAAAGTTTGTACTGGCTGAGTATCGTGTCATTTAGAAGATAATGGTTGTGGCGCATCTAGAAACATGTTAGTAGCTGTCACTGTTGTTGCTGTTTGTTTGGGTTGGGGTTTTTGGGTAAAAATACAGATTCTGCTTAGGCCCAGCTCTGTAGAGCAGGCATGCCGGGGAAGGATCTACTTGCGGATGCAGTGAGGAAAACTCAGGCTGCATATGAGAGGTGTTTGTCAGTGCTATTCAGAGGGATATTAAGAATATCTAAAATACCATTGTATTTGATGGCATTTCCTGTAAGTTTACCGAATCTTACCTAATAAAGTAAAAGCAGAGTAAACTGTAACAAGTGTCGAGTGATTCTTGCCAGAGAGGGGAATTTAGAATTGACAAGCTGTTTGTGGTTCACAGTTTGCGATGTAGTCAGTTTGGAAGTAGGCTATTGCTTTGGGGTAAACATAACTGAGCTGGGAAGAAAATAAGGTAAATATTTCAGTGTATAAGTAGCTCTTACGCACTGCTCTCAGGCTGATGTGATTCTGTTGATGTTAGTGAAATTACTCCGTATTTACGTGGGTTTAGTCAGTAGAACACTATTAAAGGAGAGGACTGAAGACACGGTCTGTTTGAAGATGATGATGGCCTGATTGTGAAATAAACACTCGTAACAGTGGAGTTGCTTTTTCAACATACAGCCCAGGCTCAAGTGATCATGAACGTGCTGCACTGCATTCAGGTGGCATGTAGCATGTTGATGATCCTGGCTTTGCTATACAGATGCTAACAGTTTTATTAGTTCATTTTTAGCTCTGTTCACAGTGCTGTCCTAATCGGCAAATGGTAGAAAAGGATTAGTAAATGTAATTCGTATCATTTTTCCCCACTGTCACACCTCTCTAGAAAGGTGGGGCTGTCCCATCAGGCACTTACCTTCCATCTTGGTCGTTGTAACCTCGTCCTCGTCGGCTGCCCTGCAAATAGAGTTCCCCTGCAGCTTGTCCAGAAGGCAGTTGTGAATACCTTAAACTGTTAAGGGACCTTGCACCTTCCTCAGACCATGCATTCACCACCTTCTCCTTTGTCTTCTCAAATCAAGCTTCCTCGCCCAAGGTCAAAGGGTGTCTGCTGTTCTAGCCCGTCCCACTTCCTGCTCTCGGCTCTGTGCCTTCTGATCCGAAGCAAAAGAGCCTGATTGCTTAACGCCTTTTCTGGTTGTGTATTCACCGGGTGCAGGAAGACACTGGTGATTGTTTTTCCTCCTGGCATTTTGTTGCACAAGGTTAGGTGTGTAAGCACAAGGCAAACCTGTGTAGAGGATGCAATGCCAAAAAGCACTGGGATGCTCTGCAAATATTTATTTGCAAGTTTTGATTTTTGTCTCCATTATATGAGTGCATCAAACCCTGTTTGTTGACATAATGCTGTGTCTCCATTTCGCTTAAGGCACTTGTGATTGTTTAATGCTGTGTCTCCATTTCGCTTAAGGCACTTGTGATTGTTTGCTATATCTATCAGTTCTTCTCAACATCGTTAGGTTATAAACCTCTTGGTTTCTTTAGTAAGTGGGCTACGTTCACTGTACTGATAATGCACAACTGTAAGCTTCAGTTGAGCTTGGCATTGGAGATCCTGATGGGAGGAGGCTAGAAAGATTCTCTTTGAAATGTTTCCAGCATCGGTACACTCATTTTTTTTTAACAAATCATTGGTTGCTTTAAGATGAAAGAACAGTACGATCCATAATTGGATCTGGATGTTTAAAGTCATTTTCCTTTTTGTGGCTGGTGAGTCAGTCTTCACATTCTTCTCTTCGAGTCCATGTTGGAGAAAAGCCTCATACAATACTAGGGAGCAGATGTCCTCTCTTGGTAGTGGTTCTGGCTGTTTACTCTTGCTGAGCATCCCAAATAGAGCAAAAATCCAATTTTTTTTTTTTTTTCTTTCTTTCTTTTCTTGTCAGAACTGGAATTACCAATCCCAGGTTTTGGGCTGGTCCGAGTAATTACTCTGCTTTCTGCTTGTTTCAAGTTCTCCATGGAGTTCCGGTTGAACAAAGTATTTTGTTCTGCCTGTGGTATAATGATCTTTGTACTGCTGCCTAAACTTGATCGGAGCCCTCCCTGGCCAAAACATCAAGGCGAAAGTATAAATGTTGGAGCTTGCGTGGCTGCCTCTATACTCAGATTTTTACTTCCTAAGTTTGCTATCTCTCTACATGGATGATACCATAGTTTTTTTAAATGTTTTTCTTTCCCCCCCTCTTCCTACTTCTCCCTCTCTCTTCTCGTTACCTTGCTTGCTTCCTGTCAGCCGGCGTTGATGTGAAACCCCGCAGCCGCGCTGAGGTTCTGCACAGTTTCTCCTCTGACCCGGCCCTCTGTTTAGCGGTAGTTAAACAGGCACTTTCACTGTGGCAGCGACGTTTATAACCGGAGAATTGCGAGTTTCCCCCCATGAGAGGCTTCGTTCACAGCGGTTGCAAGGTGCAGAGTAATGGCCGTCGGTCCTTCCAGAGCCGGGTAGAGCTTTTGGTCCAGGCTGGTTCCGCGTCCGTGCTGGCGTGATACCTGTCGCTTACGGTGGGTGGCTGGAGAGCCTGGGACTGCCAGAGGGCAATTGGGGGCTATCATACGGAACCAGGCCTGTTCACGGACTTGAAGTGTGCTTCCAGCTGGATCTGTGGAATACAGTGGGTAATCTGGGGGGAAAAATAGTCGTATGTGCTGTCATCAAGCCCCAAAAAACAAAGTTCTACCCGCCAGAGGAGATAGAAATAGGCTTGCACATCAAGGAACAGTACAAATCTTGAATGTCAGTAGCCACAATATGAAGCCAAAGTGCTTTAGTGAATTATGAGATGCTACTGCATTTTATTTTCCTCTAGGTCACTGTATCAAGTCTGGGTTCAAAAGGAGAAGCTTATGCGTTCCTCTAGTGAATAAAGGTTCTGGAAGTGGAGCCTGATTGCGGAGGATTTGGGAACCTCTGAACAGAGCGTATCGGGCGCAGGCAAGGGAGTTTAAGGGGATTAAGCTCACCATCATGCAAGGACGGTCTTGTTCAGAGCAGGGAAGTGTGGAACTATTCTTGAGAGTGGTGGCAGGAACAAGGAGTAGCTTTAGGTGTGTTAAGGTGCGATTTGAGGCACAGCTACAGCAAGGAGCTTTTGTGGAGTTTCAAAGGAAGGGAAATTGCTGGTACTACTGGAGAAAGACGCCTGCTGGCATGACCTATCTTCCGAGTTTATTATAACATCATGAAACACAGATTTTTTTTTTAAATTTTTTTACTTCCTGCTTTACATCCACTCAGCTTTGATGAT